AGAGACCTTCTGCCATTCGTTGGTGGCCGGCCCAGCCTCAAACCTTGACACAGGATAACATTGGTTCATATCAGCCTATCCCTACCTTAAATTAGCACTTCAAGGTCAGACACAATGTCTATCACCAGCAGTCGGCACCACTAACATTCCCACTTCGGCTTACTATTTCAAGGACAGATTGCCAAGGTCCCACCAGGCAGACCTTCCTGCAGGGTGCAGGGGCACAGGAGATATGATTAGAAAGAATAAAATACCCCCACAGTCCAACTCTAACAGATTTGCACACTGAACCATCACCGAGAAACTTCTCTGACCACTGCTACATACGTAAGGCTTCTGATATTTGGGTTCTGGCAGCAAAGGAGCCCACTTCTACTTTTTTAGGCACTGCCTGTAAAGCTAAAAACAGTTGTGGAGGGAAACAAATCCCTCAAGGCCTGCGAATGGCTGCAGCAGCGAGTCCTAGGGAGCCTGCAGAGATAGCACATGCACGCCTGGCTCTGGGTAGGGGCGGGCTGGCTGCACTGGAGCCTTCAGCATGTTTCCTACTGGCTGTAAATTCCCGGGAATGCTCAGAATAGCTCGCTGTCAATCCCATTTGCATCTGTTGTGGGAAACAAAACATTCACAAGACCTCTAGGGAAAACACTCTATGGGTAGCCAAAGCAAGCAAGAAGAAAGGGTGGTAGCAAACCCTTCAAAATTCACAACAGCTTTTGGTCAGTTAGCTGTCTAACCGAACATCCCTACAGCCAGGGTTTCATTTGTCTGTAATGAAAACTGGCATGCAGTGGGAACGGTCCCCCATGCCCATGGTGTGGTCCACAGGCAGCCAGTACAGACCTGTGTTGGCTCCAACACAGAAAGGGATAAAACCCCTTGTTTTAACAGGGATGTGAAACCTGGTAAGGTCCTTCACCCGTTATTGGCCAGAGACAATAACTGCAAGACTTCTTCAACTGGGACAGGGGACTTCCTGGGGACAGGGTAAGGAAAGGGGGCACTTGTGATACTCCGAGACACAGCCAGGCTGAGCAGAACTGTTGAATTTCACCCAGTTATTTTAAAATAAAACCTCTTACGCTTTGATTACAGGGACTAACACAGCTGGAGAGCTGTTGTGGATTAGCTGGCCCCCAGCTAAATAGCAAAAGAGCTGCACAGGAAAGTCACTGTGAGCCAGAGGTGAACCCTGGACCTGCCAGCACCAGCAGCTGCCAGTATTGCAGCCACACTGCTAACTGCTCCCAGCATAAGTGTGTTCGTAAGCAGAGTTTGCCAGGAGCCATTCCCAGCTGGCACGGCAGTGCAGCCTGTGCTCTATCTCCTCCTGTTACAAGTCAAAAAGTGTTGGTTTACAAGACATATGACTGGGTTTTTTTAAGTCTCTTTTTTCTTTGCAGTAAAGAAAATAAGCTGAACCGAGTTACTGTATGCGGCTGAAGGATTGTGCTCTTCTACCCTCCCCCTGTTCTTACTCTCTATCCCACCCACCACGTAAAACTCTCACACTGGGGAGGACTCTGCCAGGCATGCGTAGCTTGTGTTGAAAACATAACACACATGAAAACCTCAAAATTTCTGAGCTAATTTTAAGATCACTTTGAAACACTGATTATTGGGGAACACAGTAAAGACAAACCAGTAGTTACAAAATGAACATAAAAATGCGTAATACAAAATTTCGGTCTCAAATATCGTATCCTAACAGTTACCATTTTCAGTCATGCCTTCTCTTTTCCTGCATGTTAATACATTAAACTTTAGACAGCAGCACACTTCAGAATAGCCATGCCCTTTCAAAACTACCGCCAAAATTCCAGATCATTGTCTGAGAAACTGTTGGAAAATCAGAAATCACTCCTCCTGTAAAACATCCCAAAACAGAGCAGTGGAAATGTTTTTTTCCCTTCCTACGTAGATAAAAATATTTATGATAAAACATGTTAAAACTAAATTAGTTAACCATGTAGAAGGCAGCTGCTTTCCTTCTACATCAAAATAATCCCTCCTAACAACTTACTTGTTAAAGTATGTAAACAGAGCATTTAAATACTTCAACATAGTCAAACCAGTCACACTGAGCAGAAAAGCCAAAATCACCAGTTAGTCACTTGCTAATATGCTATTCCAAGCAAACTGTCCAAAACAGCAATACATTTGTCGGGCACCCTGCTGTAACGAGAGCTAGCCTCACACGGCTCTCCCCATACCTGTGACATAACTGCGGTGCTCACTCGACCGTAATCCCTTCCGAGGTCGCTTCCCGGCTTTGATTAAATCCAGCCTGTGCGCTCTGCGAACGTTTGGTTTTTTCCTCGACTTATATAGAGCATCTAACATGAAGTCATTAGCTGGGTCATTTTCCCAAACCAGAACCCAGGATGATTCAGGTTGACAGAGGCTGTTGTTGTTGAAAGGTTTATTCTTAGCGATGACTAGGGCTTGCAGCATTCACTGCGCCCTGGGCCTGGGGACGGGTGGGGCCGGGGGCTGACGAGGACAGACAGCTGTGGCTGCGGGACCGCAGGGAAGCCCGATCCACTACAGAACAACTTCCCAGGGAGTTCGCTGAGGCTCTATTTATAACTTTAAAAGGCAAAACTTTGTTGTGGACACAAAATTAACTCTGAATCCTCTTGATAGGGGAAAAAAAAGTGTCTGTGTTTGTTTCCCAGCATAACAAAATACACATTCTCTGAGATAATATAAACTTCACATCCGAAGCACATTGTGCCCTAAAGATCCCTGTGCAAAAGCGATTTAACAGAAGAGTATTTTGTGCATTTTGGAGAGTTAATAAAGTAGGATATGGTTTTACCTTTACAGTTCTATTGCTTATCTTGCTCTTACGCAATTAAGAGTGTAAAATAACTTTCTACTTACAGTGGTATTAGTAAGTTTAATCACTTCACCTGTCATCTGCATAAGAATGGTTTACTCATACATGAATAAATTCAGTGTTCCCCACTGTACATGTTGATAGTAGTAAAACTTTTTCCAGAGCTTTTTAGATTTGTTATTTAAACAATTTTCTAATTAAATAGAAAAAACCCCTCACCTCTAAGCATGAATTCAAATTTTTGTTACTGGGAGAGGGTTGGGTGGGTTTTTTTTTTTTTTTACATTAATTCTTTGCATAATGCTAAAAATTAGCTTCTGTGACTGCACTCAACAACTAAAAAGAACCAAGACTCCAGCCAGGTAAGTTAATATGGGAAACGCAGACATGGCAGACCTCCAAGTATCTTTTACTAAAAACATAGAATGGTGTAGCGACAGAAATCTGCCCTGGCCTTTTCTTGAGCTCTGCCTGGGTTTTCTTTAGGTTACAGAGCAGCACAGGATGCAAAATAAAATTGGTATTTTTCATTATGAAAAACTTCACGTTAATACCACAGCACCAGTGCCATACGACCAGACTATGGGATCCGTTGGTTGTGAACTATCCCCCAGGCCTCCAGGTGCCCATTTTCCCTTTAAGTTGAACTCCTTCCAGGCCTGAGAAGATGCTTTCCTTTATGTGACTGTTGGGGGAAGTATTTGTAAGGTAAGAAGCAGTTTGGGTGTTACGTACTTAGACATTCCTTATGTTGAATTTCTATTTTAAACCCACGGCTTGGTAAAGTAGAGGAAAAGTTTCTATGGAACAGCAGCACCTTTTAGTAGGCTAACAGAGCAGAAGGAAAAAAACATCAACTCCAGGCAAACCAGCAATTTTCTACGGTACAAAGTAAGACCTCTCCATCTCTATTGAGACGATACAGCACTCCAAGTGTCACCATTCTGACACCATCTATTAGAACAGGAAAATAACATTCTGCATGTTTAAAGCAAATATTTAGAATTCAACTTGCAACTATCTTTTCCCTTTGGCTTTCAAAATTGCATCATTTAACTAGTACTACATATTTCTCACTCAAAAGCAACATGAACTATGCTTTCATGGCAATGTAATTTATACAAACAAAATCATTATACAAACAAAATTAAAATACCTTCAGCTTGCACAGTATTTGGGGGTAGGAAACGAGGCTCTTCAGAGGTAGGCAGCATATTCTGAAGTTTCTAAGACATGCCTCACAGCCTGGACAATACTGTTATCTTTGATTATACCTAAATCAAATATCAGATATTTCCTAAACCAACACTGAACAACAAGCACAACCATTTCCTCTTACAGATAACAGGCTAATTTTTCCTTACAAAAAAACAACCTAAATCTACAGTTACTCACATTTCAGAGTAGAAATCCTGTTCACCTCGTTGAGGTCCTGAGATCTGTTAAACGGGACATGAATGACAATGAAACAATATAGGCTCATTTTTAACAGCAGCTATTAAAAATGTAAGTTAACCCTCTTTCATCTTCCACTGCAACACAAAATGTGGAAAACTCCTTTGCTGAGGAATGGCTGCAGCTAAAATATGGTGATGACCACAGAGAATTTAGCAAATGTACACGCGTCTAGCCACTGTGATCTCCAGGAGACACAGATCTTACAGAAGACTGGGCTCCTCCAAGAAAATGCTAACATCCCTCAGTGGACTGACAGACTGGATAGGTTGAAGCTTGTTCTCTGAATTCACTTTAAGGACGCAGTGGGTATGGGGCTGGTTGTATGTAGTAGGTGGGAAGTAATGAAAGTAATGGGCAAACATTATAGAAGAGTTACAGAGGCAGTAGTGGATCAATATGGTGCAGGCCCAGCCCAGCAGAACACACTAAACTGCTCCCACCAAGACAGGAAAGGGCAATAGCAACAGCAGCTCACCAAGAACAGGATTTCTGCTCTATTCTGGCATAAACGTATCAACCTCTCACCATTTGCAGCCAAAAAAAACCCCCACAAAACAGAAACCAAAACCGATCAACTGCACATGGTCATGTTACAGCTTCACAGCAAGCCAGCTCTCATCCTACATGGTCCTCCTCATTCCTCCAATGCTCTGGAAAATTGATCGTAGATACCTTGCCATACCTCCAGGGAACCTGGAAAGTAAGATGGCATCTTTCTGCCCAGCAAAACAGAAAATACCCAAGCCAGGCTACACGCATTTTGTTGGTATAATAAGGGAAGTCCAAGTGCTTGCTGCAGACATTTCGGTATCAAAGAAGCTGCTTTCCATGAGCGTAAGAGACGACTCTGCACTATGTAGACAGCATGTAGGAGTGATGTCTTTGTCAGACAGAAAAGAATCAGCACTGCTTCCCCCTTCCCCTTTCGCCTGGTTTTGGGAACTAGACACCCCCACGTGGCCCTTCTCTGTCTTCAAGGAGGTACTACATGAGTTCTGTGATACAAGGCACCACACAAACTTCTCAACAGGATCCTCAGACATCTTCCCTCCGCCTGCATTTCTACTACCTGCTGCAAACAAATCAGAAGGGGAACGGAAGATAAAACAGGTTAATATGTACTGACTTAGGCCATGCCTCTGCCAAGGGGCAGGACATTGGAGGCAAATTCAGAAATTTCGAAGTTTACATGTTGTTGTCGCCAAGAACCAAAAGGTCTGGCAAGCAGGCTGTGATAATCAGCTGTGTGGTTAAAGCATTGTAACACTCCAGAAGGCCTCAGGTGAACGTTCTACAATCTCAGGATTTCTCAGGTTGCACGTGGAAGGTGTTATTTCCAATATTAAGATATAGATGGTTATTCTCCACGTGTGCACACACAGAGGGCAAAAACCCTCCTCAGGGAACAGATCTGAGAAGAGCTTGCAAGGATTCTTATGGTCGTAAACAAAATTGCTACTTAACAGTGGTCCCTCCAACTGAATTGGGACTTGCTATTAAGGAAAATTAATATATTGAAATTAATACCAACATAAGACTGAAAAAAATTAGATCTGCAACTCTGAAGTTAAACTCCAGTAGCAAAACTTGCTTCCCACAACAGCACATTATAAACATTGAAACACACGTGCTTCTAAATAGAACAAGTAGAAAACAAGTGTACAAATCTGTAATAAGTAAAACTTTATTGTAAACCTTTATGCAATGTAATTACATCAGATACCCTTAGAAGTTTAAGGTAACATCGATTAAACAATAGAGTCCAAACAGAGGGCAGCAGAATACAGCTGTGGTTTGCTCACATAGGCTATACTCTGAATTCACTTACAAACAAACTCAACATTCAGTTTGAGACGGATACCAACGCAAGACAAAAACACCTACAAAAGAGTCCCTTTTTTAAAGATACTGCAGTTTTACTTTGTAAAACCATAGTAGTCATTTTCAGTAATTGAACTGGAAACTTTACCTAAAAAAGTTTGCACACCTATGCTGTAGATCTACTTTGACTTGATGTCGCTGAATTTATTTGCTTTCATTACTGTTTTCTCCTGTAAAAAGCACAGCAAAGTTGCAAACATGGGTTAGTCAAGCACAGTGGCAGAAATTACTTGTGATGCTCAGCTCTCAGCAGAGCGTGAGAGTCCACACCTCCCTCCCCAGGCACAGCTGGAATTGGAGCAACACCTGGGCAGGGATCACTTTGCATTGCTCTAATTTGCAACTCAGTTTCTGAGTTTTCCCTGAAGAAAAGCTATAGTACATTTTAGTTAGCAACATTAACATACAGCATTTACCTACTTAAAGTAAGACAAGGGGACCTGAACATAATTAAAGCCAGAACTTGAAAACCACATATTAGACAACACCAGTGTTTTAAATTTATGCAGATGTGTCATAGGTCAGATACTAGAAACAGTTAATACATTTAGATTGACCATTCATGGTAAATTCAATCTCCACCAATACTCCTGTGTCTCTTCTGTATGTTTCAATCCCTTTCTCTTACTTTGGCATATACTACCTAGCTTATTTTCATTAAGCAGAGTCACATTTTTTTAAGCACAGCCTGAATTAAACCTCTGCTACAAGTTGTCCTGAAGTACGTTTACCAGGCATTAATTTACACCGCCAATTTGAGGATAATGCAAATGCCATAGTGTTGTAATATTATTACTGGATCAACTCTTTATGAAAAATTTATTATTTCAGACTGTACTGCCAATACATTTCAACAAACAGTAAGACGTAGTGAAAGCACTAGGCACGTAACTTCCTTCTCACACATACAAACTCTTCAGACAAGAGCACTTCTCCTACTTGTACCTACTGCAAGAATTCCAACTTTTATCTTACACAGAGGAAAACTGACAATTTTATATTTTCCATCTCTTTCACATGATAACAAAGAATGAATAAAC